GCTCTTGAGCCCTGAATATGGAGAGGTCTGATGATGGATTAGAGGTGAGGTTAGATTCAGTCTGCACAGGGACCTGAACATTACTGAAGGGAGGTGGTAGATACTGCCCTCCTGACCCCGGGGTAGATGGAATGGCGCCATGCCCTCCCAGGGGACAGACTCCTACCCACCCCTGGCTGGGCTACTGCCTGCCTCTCTGGTGTCTGAATAGAGACCCTGAGAAATCAGCACACACTGGAACCCTTTGCCCTAGGTGGAGGAGGAAGCACAGTAAAGACATGATAGAGACGAAGTTAGAGCACCTGAGCTACATTTTCTGTTCATTCATCAAGCAAATATTTATTGAGCACTTATTAATTGCTAGACATTATTCTAGGCATTAGGATTATAATGCCAGTGAACAAGACAGACAGGTTCCTGGAGCTTAAAGTCCTAAGATACCAGGAAGGAAAAGTGTTTTAAAAGTATGTAAATATGTAAATCTCCCCCCCTCCCCAAAGCTTGCATTTCCTTTGTACTGTCCCTGTCAAGGTCACCAAGGGATGCTCAGATGGTCGGATGCTCGGATATTTCCAATGATGGGAAACTTGCCCCCTCCAGAGGCAGAAGCAGGCCCCTGAAGTCTCCATAGGGCCAGACTGAGGGCCTGCAAGCCTCTCCCCACCCAGCCTGTGCAGTCTTAGGCAAGGGAGTATTAAGTGCAATATTAGGATGTACAAATTTTATTTTATATCAAGGCAAAATATGAGGCTTTGTCCTGCTGTTTCTGAGTTAACTGCTTGGGACTAAATGAAACTACTCAGCTCCATCCTCCCAGGCCCAGAGCACCCCAGGTCCCCCAGCCTCCACCAACAGCACCCCCTCTTCCCCTGAGTCCCCAGCAGTGGGACTGGGTGTGGTTCTCTCTTGCCAAGCATCAGTCCTCCTGACCTGAGCAGCCTCTAGGGGACAGGGAGGGTATGGGGATGTCTGTGGGACAGAAGAGCAGCTCTGGCATTGGATAGAAAATCAGGTCTCTGGAGAGCCCAAGATAGGGAGACACCGAGAGCCTGGTAGCAAAGGTGCTCCTACCTGGTGAGAGTCTGGGGCTGCCAGACACCAGGAGCTGCCATCCTGGCTGGATTCCCATATACAGACCCCAGCAGGGCCCTCCATTTCCCCACGTATCATCCTGATTGCCTGATGAGGCCTCACAGCCTTGTGGGCAGCAGCTAGGAGCTGTATTTCCAGAGGAATAGGAGCGGCAGGCAGTCAGGCCACATGGAAGCAATTACAAGGAAAACTGGAGAGGAGGGGGCTGGCAGTGGCAGCGGGAAGGACGGAGGAGGGGAGGAGGGAGGAGAATAGAGAACACTGCCCTGCTTAATGCCTGGGCCCAGGAGACATACAGGGAGAGGACTGGGGCTCAGGACAGCAGGAACCTAGGTCTAGGCTAACACACTGTGGCTTTGTACAACCACCTCATACCTTAGAACCTGGGCCTCTTTCTTCATCTGTCACAGGATGAGATGGGCAAGCTCCGGGAAGCAGTCAAGAACTGGGCTGAAAAGTGCAGGTTTTGGAAGCAGGCCTGGATCTGAGTCCTAGCTCAGCTATGCGACCAAGGTCAGCAGCATGACCTTGGCCAAGAAGTTTAATCTTTCTGAGCCTCTATTTCTTCATTTACAAATGGGCGTGATAATAGGCCCATGTGTGTGAGGCTCACATGAAGTGAGGTAAAGTGTCTAGCACTCTTTTTTGAAGTTTAGGCTTTTAATAAGCACTTGATTGGTAAGTGGTAACTATTTTTACTATTTGTGAAGGCCTTTTTATCATGAGGACAGATGCTCACCGATGCTGCAGAGCTTGGTCTGGGCTGGGCCCCTGATACTAACACACTGTGGCCTTGTGCAAAGAGCTCACACCTTTGAACCTGGGCCTCTTTATCTGTCACAGGATGGGATGGGCAAGCTCCGGGAAGCAGTTGAGAACTGGGCTGAAAAGTGCAGGTTGCAAGTTGCATCACTACAGCACCTTGAATCCACACCCTGGAGGAAGGTTTGAACCCAAGGCAGAGACACAGCAGTGTGCCAGCCCAGCACTCTCCAAACAGGTCCCAGACTTCCTAGACATCTCTCTAAATAGGAAGGCGAAATCCTTAAATGAGTCTCAGGTGGGAAGAAGGGACAATCCCAGATCCCAGCTGCTTGGCTTCTGCAGCCAGACCCAGGTGGGAAACTGAGGCCTGGCCAGCCCCACAACTCGCCTCATTCTGAGCAGCAGCACCCTCCTCCCTGCTGGGCCAGGAGCAGAACCCCTGATTGCAGAGTCTAGAACAACTACATCATCTTTCTGCAGGGCAGTGGCAGAGATGAAGCTGTGGCCGGGGTGTGGGTCTCCTTATCCCAGGCAAGGGATCAGCTAAGGGTAAAAACCCACAGCTCTGGACACTCACACCCTCCTCACCCTGAAAAGCAACAACCCAAGCCACCCCTTGGTGGCATTCGGCCTCCTCTGGGCTCGGGATCTACAATCAGAAGCCCCATGGCACATGGCTGGGCCTCCACTGGAGGCTGCACCTGACCACACCTCGATCTATAGGATAAGGAACATCATTCACACTACTCCTCCCAAATGTGGCAGGGGTTAGGGGTTATTCTGAGGCCAAGAACAGCTAGTAGGCCACACAGGAGTGCTCAGAACACTCACACAGAAGCGTCTGAGACGGGGGTGACCAAGGAGAAAAGGGAAATGGTGACTACAGTCACCCACATATGCCTGCTCTAGCCATTTCCTCATGAAAACCAAAAGCTTCAGGCCAAGGCCCTGGGTCATGACAAGTGAGGAGGGTCCTTGGAGTGAGAGGTTGTTATCAGCCTGTGGCAAGGAGATGTCTGACACCCAGCCCGGGGAAGCAGGTGCTGCAATCACAGGGTGCCCCTCACCACCTGAATGTCCTACTGTCCTCAGAGACAGACCCTGGACACTCTAGCAGCTGCCTTGATTGCTTGGACTTCAGATACCCTGGAGGCCTAAGTCGCCCTCCATCTCCTGTCCGCCCAGGTCTGGAGCCTGGCAGGCATGCAACTGGCTGTGTTTGTCTGCTGTACTGTGATCCCTTCCCTGCAACAGATGGTGCGAACTTCTGAGCCACTCTGAGAGGAGGAACTCACAACTCTATTGGGACAGCCTCTGCGGGATGCAGAAGATGCTGCCAGTGTGGGCAACTGCAGAATGGCCACAACTCAGGATGGAACACAGAAAGACGGTTAGGCCTCATTGCTGCTACCTGGTGAAGGGAGGGTTTTTTGGTTTGTTTGTTTTTGTTTTAGGATTTCCTACAATTACAGAAAAGGGCAAATTCTTGGTTCTACCTACAAAACTGGATCCTAGGAGTCTAAATGGGCCAGAAGGGTGGAGGGGCTGAGGCGCTCTGTTTCTGAGGAGTGGGGAGTGAGTCACTGCTCCAGGTAGGGAAGAGGGTAAAGGGGGGAGGGAAAACAGCCCAGAGGCCCCATGGGCTTCCTCAGCCTGGGTCCTCAACTCATGGGGAAGGAGGCTCTGTTGTCCCTGAGCTAGAGGCGCTCTCAGACCAAAGTCTAAGCAGGACTCCTAATTTACTTTTTCCAACTTATCCTTGCAGCTACACCCGCCACCTGACCTCCCTGTGGTCCTAGAGTTTGGGAGGCTGCCCCCACTCCTGGATCTTTTTCCATTTCTTGACAGGGCTGTGGGGCAGCTGTGGGTCTCTCGCACCCCAAACACAGAGGGACAAAGCCCCAGGGACACTGTGGGAGGGGCAAGGGCAGAGCAGGAGGCATTCCCACACAAGCTCCCAGCAAGCAGAAAAGCCATAAGCTAATTTCTAGGCCCCACACAGCTAGCACCTCCCAGGCACCCTCTCTAGAATTATGGGGCCACTCTGGAGAGTGAGAGTGTGGGAGAAATATTGCTAACAGCAGACAGTTCTTCCTCCATGCAGGCAGTTTTCAAAGCAGATTTAAAATCTCCCTGGCAGGTGCCCACCAGGGCCTAGAGCAGGTGAGTAGGAGGGCAGGGTCTGGGAACTGGTCCCACACAGCTCAGGAGAGGGTGGCACTGGTTCTGTCCTCTAATGAGAACCCATGTTTCTGGAAAGAGTAAGTCTGCCTGAACTTGGATCCATGATGCGCCTTGCTCCCATAATGGAAAGTCCAGGCTTCACCTGCACACAGGGCACAGCTGGGCAACACTGCCTACACCCCCAGCCACTGGCAGCAGTCCCCTAAGTCAAGGCCCTGGGACCAGTCTGGAGAACAGAGGAAGGCTCCACAGGGGGTCAGGTCTCACATCACATAGACCCAGCCTCCCAGCAGGACTGGGAATGGAGAGGGCAATGCTGGCAAACAAGGTGGCAGTTGTGGGCAGGCTGGGGGACCCTGCCAGCACCGGCTCCTGGACGACACCTGGCCAGGGGCTCTGCCTCCAGCTCTAGCCCACCCTCCATGCCACCCAGCCAGCTCTGAGGCACAGTGGCCTAGGCCCAAGGACCCCACCACGTGGGCCCGGGGCCTCCAGCTGGCAGTGCCACCTCCGGGCTCTGCTCAGCGACCTTCTGCCCCCTGATCCTAGAAGGCTCCTGCACAGCCTGTCGCCTACAGCAAAGCCAGCCCTTCTGTCCTGGACCTTCGGGGGGCAGTTTGGGAGGAGAAACCATCACTCAGAAGATGCTGGAGGTGGGGGAAGCCTCTTCAGCCAGGGGCGCAGGGCCGGTGGGGCGGGAAGAAACTTTCCTGACAAGAGGGATGTCCTGCTTGCTTACTCCAAGGGAGCAAAGAGAATCGAGCTTCCCGCGAAAATCCGGTCCAAGGAAAGGGACTCCGGGAAGCAGCTCCCCAGGGCCCCAAACCCGCAGCGCTGCGCCCACGTGCTGGGCCAGACCACCCCGACGGCGCCGCGCGGGTCGGAGCGGGCAGCCCGGGACCGGCGCTCCCGCCCGCCCGCCCGCCCGCGGGCCCCGCAGCCCGGCGCCGCGTACTCACCCTCGCGGGTGGAGCGGGGCGGGGCAGCACAGCTCGGCGCGGCTCCGATCCGCTAGGCGCAACCCCGGCAGCGCAGCGCGGGCGCGACGGCTCCGCTCCGCCCGGTGCCTGTCCCGGCGCAGGGCCGGCCTGGGAGCGGGCAAGTCCGCCTGCAGGCGAGGCAGGGGCCCGGCCCGGCGGGGGCGAGGAAGGGGCCGGACACGCGTGCGCACACGGCGGGAGCCGGCTGCTCGAGCCGCCGGAGGAGGGCGGGGTGGAGGAGGGGGAAGGGCGGGGGCGATACCGCGCCGTCGCCGGCGTGGGGTGGTGTGGAAGTCCCCGAGGCCGCGAGGGGCAGGCGGGGCGCCGGGGGCGCGGAGGAGCGGAAGAGGAGGCCGGATGAGTGAGAGCTCAGCGGGCTGGGAGCGGCGCCGGGATGCGTCTGCCCAGCGCAGCCTCCGCGCACTCCCGGGAACAATGAGACCCAAGAAAGGGTTCTCTGCTGCCGCCCGCCGTGGACCGTGCCATTCCCTCACTGGGGAGACTGAGATAGAGAAGAGGAGGTTTAGTTACTTTCTGTACCCCACGCACGCGAGACAGCCGAGTGCCCCGGACTGAGACACCAGCTCTTTCTTGGCGCCTGTCTGGGCCTGGGGCCCTCAAACTGCTCCCTCTGCACCCCTCACTGGGAGACTCTTTCTTGGCTTAGGAAAGCTCTCAACTTCCGTTCCTCACTGAAGGCGCCAGGCATCCTGCCCGTAGGGGGAACCCCATCAGGCCTCTGACCCCGGTCCCTTGGGCCCAGCCATTTCCCAAGGAAACCTGGAAACTGCCCAGGCTGAGGGAGAACAGTTAGAAGTGGCAGCCGCTAGAGACGGTCCCTTTCACAAGTCAGCACAGTGTTTACTGAGCCCCTAATGAAAACAGCCCAATGCTGGGGACCCAGACCCTGCCCCCAGGAGGCTTACCATCTGCTGCAGAAAGAAAGTTTACGGTGGACTCCAGTCAAGAATAAGGCAGGACGAGATGTGACTAAGCACAAGGTATGAGCAACTGACAGTGAGTGCAGAGGTTCAGATAAGTGGCAGCTCAGATACAGCTGGAGCTGGACCGCCCGCCTATGGGCTGACAACCTGTAGGCAGAGACCTCCCTCTGCGGGAGTGAAGTGAGGGCCTCTGCCTGCAAGTTCTTCCACAAGTGGCCGTGTTCCGACCTAAATCACACCTCACCTGGGTGGAGGCTGTTTGGCATTTCACCAGTGTCTAACTTAATTTTGTTTGGATGGTGCCTTTGGCTTGATCAGTCACGCATTCATTCAACAAATGTTTATTGCATATCATCTTCTGACCTGGAATTCAGCTAGATATAAAGAACACAGTGACTAAGTCTCTGCCCTGGGCAAGTCCTGAGGGAAAGGGACGCTTTCCCACTGCAGGTAGTAAAGCTGTCTCAGAGTCTCAGCCTCTAACCTGGGCTGTTAGATGAATTAGATCCAAACACAGTTTGCAATTCTTACTTTGAACTGTGTAAACTTTGCTCTGCCAGCCTAGTGAATTAAGAACCAGCTTTTGCTCTTGGAGACTTGAGTTCCAACTCTGTCTCTTCTACTTTAGTTTTTCTTACTAGGAAAATAGTAAGTTTTAGCTTTAGTATTCTTACTAGGAAAAAAATGGAAATAACTATGCTTATTCAAAGAGCTACTATTGATATTAAATCAGGCAACAGATGTGAATGTGCCCCACAGCACAGCCTGATAATGCAAGAGGAGTGCCTCTTACCCTACAGCTGTGCTCAGCACACACACAGACCAGCTTATCCCACGCCTGGTTACTGGGTGCCCAGACGCTAACTGTAATTCTGATCTCCTCCCTTAGGCCACAGAGTGCTTACTCATGATCTTTTCCTTTTCTTAACAGCATAGCCAGAAGCTTAGCTCACTGCCTGGAAACCATATCATCTATGGGGCAGGAGGGAAGCAATTCTGGTGCTTTCCCCCCTTTGGCCTACAAGACATTATGAGTTGCTCAGCAAGAGGCGATGTGATGGGACAAACAGGGCTCCTGGGGACTGTTTCTCTTCGAGATGAGGTACGCCAGGGTAGAGCCAAGGCTGTCTGAGAAGGGACAGGTTCAAGTCCCCTTCTGAGCCACGCCACCTCTGTGCCCATTCCTTCTGCCTCCCTGTACCTCCCCAGTGTCTCTCCCAGTACACGCACTGTGTTTCCCCGAAAATAAGACCTCCCCCTAAAATAAGCCCTAGCAGGATTTTTATGCATTTGTTAAATATAAGCCCTACCCCAATAATAAGACCTAGTGATGGGTGTGGCAATGCAGAAAAGCACTGGACATGCATTTCGGCGTGGAGCGGTAAGGAAGACTGGAATACCTTTTATCTGCCACAGCTCCTTTCTCCTAGCCATTCATACTTGTGTGGGTGCATATGTGGTAACCGTAGTCACAGGCATCCTATTGCACACGTGCAAACGGCTAGGTGAAAGGAGTTCACACATCACTAGTGCCAGCTCCACCAACAAGGTTGGCTCCCCTGTCAGGTTCCAGAAGATGACTTAACTGTATTTAAATAAATGTAGATCACTGTATTAATCTTAATAAAAATAAGACATCCCCTAAAAATAAGCCCTAGTGTGTCTTCTTGTGAAAAAATAAATATAAGACAGTGTCTTATTTTCAGGGAAACATGGTAGCAAGACACCTCTCTGCTAGGGCAGCAGGGGAGCCTCAGGAGCAGAGGGAGGAGACAGGAGAAAGGGGTGAGGGAGAGGCACAGGTGTGTCTAGACCTGGAATGCCCTGGCCTTGCAGCTCCTGCCTGGCAGTAGTGGGTGTGAGCTGGAGCCCCTGGAGCCATTGGACAAATGTGCCTCACAGGCCTCTGTCTCCTGTCCCTCACATGTGCCACATTAGCAGGCTGCCCACCAGGAGGAGGGAACAGCAAGATGCCATTTGAGGAAGAAATAGACCCCATCCAGCATCTCAGACACTTTAAAAATAGCAGCTCTGGGATGGTATTTCAGCTCCTATTTTTATCAGATTTCTATGGCTGCAGCATGGAGTTGTGCTGTTCCCAGGGTTCTCAGTAGCAGGGTCAGTGTGTGGCAGTGTTAGAGGCCTGCTGGTCGGCCAGCACTAAGATGCATGCTAGGAGCTTTGAGGCTGAAAGAGATCTTGACAAGTCACTGCCTGCAGCCTCTACCTCTGTTCAGGGCCGCAGTCTATCAGAAAGTCTATGGCTTGCTTTTTTCCTTAAAGTCTCCTGGTTGCCAGGCCTCCACTGCAAAGTCTAGGATTTCATAGTCCTTCTAATCAGGAAGTGATTTGGAGTCTGCCTTCATCTGTTCAGTCAGCTATAACAAAGTACAGCCTGGGTGGCCTATACACTACGGAAACTGATTTCTTATAGTTCTGAAGGCTAAAAAGTCACTATCAATATGCCAGCAGCCTGCTTCTTGCTTTACAGATGGTCACCTTCTCACTCTAACCCCACATGGGGGAAGGAGTAAAGCCTCTTTTATGAAGTACTCAACCCATTCATGAGGACTCCACCCTCATGCCTAAACCACATCCTAAAGACCTCATCTCAAATACCATCACTTTGGAGACTAGAGTTTCACCTTAGGAATTTTGGGGGGACATAAATGTTCAGGCCATAGCAAATGTCTTGCCCAAACATCTCTTGATTCCATCCCTTTCTCTCTCAGAGCAGAAACAATCAATGTTTACTGAGCGATTAGTATGCCCCACAAAATTCTCTGATTTGTCATCTTCACTGAAACCCTCTGGGGGAGTGCTATGATCACCCCTATTTCATGAGCAGTTATATAACTTGCCTAATTTCAGACTCAGTTGTGGTGCAAATTTTACACTAGAGCCTTCAAATCACTCTGCTTCCCAAGCGGGGAGAACAGAATGGTATGAGATTTCCTCTTAGCCTTGCCTTTTATTCCTTCATCCCAGTTCTGCAGGAACAATTGGTTAGTGTTCTAACTGTGCCTACCCACACTGGGAGCCACGCTGAGCGCTGGTCTCCCTGACCTCTGGGTCTTTGCTTAAATTGGCCTTTGGATGACAATTCTCGAGTTTTAGCCTAGAGCACAGAAAGACAAACTGTACATGATCTCACTTCTATGTGGAACCTAGAAACATCTAATTCATAGAAACACTGAGTTATCAGGGGCTGGCAGTGCAGAGAGATGGTCAGGGGAGACAAACTTTCAGTTCAACCAGAGGAATAAATAAGTTGGGAGATCTGTGCAGCATGTGCCTACTGTTTTTTTTTTTTTTTTTTTT